GTTTGTAGCCTTTTATATCCATCTGACCCGGTAACATACCTACAAAGACAATGCAAATTCAAAGCCAAAAGTGCAAAAACATTGGCGTGGTTTGCCTGCATATAACGTAAGTAATCAAACCGAAATTGCTTTTGCACAAAATAGGCAGAGCACTTCAAAAAGCACTGAAGTGCAAACCCTCGGCGCATTACGCATGCATGGTACCGCTAATTGATGGACTGGGTTATGAGTGTGCGTTTACTCGTGGTCTTTGGTCGTGGAGAGTCTGACACGGGCTAGCTACACTATAAGATAGAATGCCGATGCGGGAGGCGATACACGGCCTTCGTGGTGACTTCTTGTGCCTCCGCAAGGTACAAAGAGCAAGTGGATCGGTCGAGGTAAGCTGGTGCGATTATGCAAATTGGCCTTTTCAAGGTGTTCATGGCATATCTCTCGAAAAATCGCCATATTATTTTTCAGGTTCGCGTACTTCTGAAGACGTTGGTATCGCTCATGGGCCGCCTCGTAGCCTGTAGTGCGAGAATAGCTGCTGACAGACAGACAGACAGACAGGCAGACCAAGTACTGTAACCTTTGCTGCGCATGCGGGCCGAGGGTTAATGAGAGTGTAAAGTGCAACCCTCGGTACACTTCCACACGAGTATGGAAATCCAATACGCCACACAGGTCTGTAGAATTTTAATAGATCGCCCATGCTATTTGCGGTTTCTCTGCTGCCTGATACGGGCTGGTACAAACCAAACCTCGCTGTCCATCGGCGGCAAGGGTTAATTCGCTCACCCACTGGTCTGAACGGCACAAATATTCAATATTTGTACGTCACCGAACTGTCATTTGAGAATGTCATTTCAGATGCAGGGTTGTGCTCGTTCCCGGTCGCCAAAAATGTCATACATTCGAACTTTCCTGTGTAGGGCCAGTACTACAAAGTAGCAACCTTTTGGTCAAAAGCATGGCAGCAGATACAGACACTACATTTCGGCTTGCTGAAACCAATATGAAAACGGGTGGATGTATGACGAGTATATAAAAGGATAGCAACAACCAAAAACAGCAAAAACAATAGAGATGCTGACTAAAGGTTCATGAAGAGGGTAAGTGGGAATGAAGAGGGTAGTGGGAATAAATCCAGGAAAAAGAACAGGCTAATGGGACCAGGAATGCAACCAAATTGGTGGCTGTAATGTATTGATGTATGCTTACACTATACCTACTTAGCTGGTTATCTAATCACCCGTGTGGGTGCGTCAGTATGATGTCATGACCCACTATATAAGTTTCTGATTCTTGTGTATCCCGGGTATGACCAATGAGCTCTAAGACATTATATTTTTGCTACCAGTTCTCAATCCTCCCTGGCGCAAGTGTGCATCCCGTGTGTTTGATTGATAGTCCAGAGCAGAGACTTCACAGTGGCGAAGAGTAGACCGGATGTCAACTCCAGCAGCAGAAGTGCCAGCAGCAGCAGCCGCCATTGGATTGCACACTGTAGCGGTCACGTTCGACCCTCGGCTCGAGGACTGGCTGGAATACGTCGAGAGACTCTCTCACTACTTTGCATCATGCCGGAGGAGAAGAAAGTGATTCTCCTGAACGCTGTCGGACCAAGCACCTACCGTCTAATCAAGATGCTATCGTTTGAGGACACCATCGACCAAGCGAGCGCCTACTTCAGCCTGAAATGTTTCCAGTTGTCAAGAGGTACACGCGAGGGTACAGAGGGAAGGCGAGTCAATCGCGAGCTACGTGGCGGCCCTATGCAAGATAGCGGAGTACTGTGAGAACTGTGAATACGGAGAAGTACTGGCCGACATGTTGCACGCTTGTCTGGTTTGTGGGATCACATACAGCGCTATCTTCTACAAGACCTAGCCCTGACCTCTGGCGACGACCTGAAAGTAGCGTTGGCAGCCAAAGCCGCCGACAAAGATGCGCAGCACCTCACAGTCCCCACAACAACAACAACAACAACAATAGATAAGGATCTGTTTACTTAGAAACAGGAACTTCCCTCTACCCAAGATGCACCATGATTTGCAGGAACAAATCAGAGGAAGCTAATTATGTTGACTCACAGAACACCCAACCGCAGAACAGCAAGTCGTCGAGAGAGTACGGAATGTTTCAAATGAGCTCGGGGTAAACCAAACCCTTCCACACCACACTCACGGTGAATGGAAGACCACTCGTAATGGAAGTCAACACTGGTGTCTCCGCTTCCTGATCAGCTAGACAACCTTCAAAGCCATCCAGAGTGGGTTGACTGAGCTAGAGTTGTAGGAGACAGCCACCCGACTACAGACATACATGGGAGAGGATAGCAGCGATAAGTCATGAACATACACCCAGAATTCCACAGAGCCAACCGAGTACCATTCGCAATGGGAGAAGGTCGAGAAGGAACTCGACCGACTAGTTTTGCTTGGGGTCATTGAGCCAGTGCAATTCTCAGACTGGGCAGCACCGATTGTTCCGGTTCTGAAGGGTATCAGCCGTCTACCGATATGCAGCAACTACAAGGTGACAGTAAAACAGTGTGCTAAACTCAACAAGTACCGATCCCCAGGATCGAGGAGCTGTTCGCCTCACTAGCTGGGGGCAAAGCCTTCGCAAAGCTAGATCTGTCACATGCATACACATTGGCTACTGAGTCACACGTGTGAACAACACAAGGGCCAGTTCAAGTACAAGTGCCTGCCGTTTGAAGTAGCCTCAGCTCCTTCCATCTTTCAGAGAGTGATGGAGAGCCTACTGCAAGGTATTGGAGTGTGCGTCTAGACATCCCCATCACTGGCCACTCAGAGCAAGAGCATGTGCACAACCTCACTCAAGTTCTGAATTGACTCAAGATAGCAGGAAAGCGGTTGAAAAGAGAGAAGTGTGCCTTCATGCTTTCGTCTGTCTGTTACCTAGGTCACCTGATAAGGGCCAAGGGCCTACACACTGCAGAATCCAAGGTCAAGGCAGTGGTTGATGCGCCAGAACCAAGGAACCTGACAGAACTAAGATCCTTCCTTGGCATGGTCAACTACTACGGCAAAGTCTAGCTTCGTTCCCAGGCCTTCCGCGAGAGAGAGAGAAGGCCTGGTACACACTGTTTGCACATGCGCGAACATTAGGAATGCGTATGTCACAGAAAATTGTGGGCGTGTATAGCAACGTCATAATCCAAGTGTCGTTTTTGTAGTAAACACCGCGTATTAACTGGGGATCATCAGGGTAGATATTTTTAGAGCAAGCTAGCAAATACCATTAATACAACTTTTCGTTTATCTCAGATGATTGATATTTTAAAGAAGAGCTAGAGGCATTGGACTCGTACATGGCAAAGATAGTCTCTTTATTTTTTAGTAGAGTGTAAATTTGTGTCATGCCACAATCAAACTCCTCACATACAGTCTGTACAGATGATACACTACACCTCTTTATAGCATCAACTTTTACCTGTAAACTTAGATGGCGCCGCTTTCATTGAACCGGCCGTTTTCCTGATGTAGCCATTGTTGAAACACGTGTCATATACATGCACACACACTGTTCTAATAAGAGAGCACTAAGTGCAGTGATGGCATCTCAAGTACCTTAAGGTACTAACAGCCTAAGTGTAGCTGAAATATTCTTTCATTCGTGGATATCATGTACACAAAGACGACTGGACTCCTTTTACCGGGGAACACTTACTTTTGCGGAAGGAGCCAGATAATGCGAACGATAAGTCTGCTGTTGCTGTAATAAAAGATGGAGAAATTGTCGGTCACAACATGTCTAATACGGTGTCTCAATTTCTGAGGAGAGACTTCAACAAAGTGACTGGTTGCTACGTTCATAGAGGTGCTGGGTACGGACTTGAAGTTCCCTGTTACTACAGGTTATATGGACCAGAACCTTACATCAGGATACTTCAAGAGTTCCTCTCTTCTCTTCGTGCTCATGGACTAATATAACTATTAAGGTAGAAGTCGTCGTAAAAGTAGTAAAAGTATAGCGTGCGTGTGTGTGATGTTACGTAACATGTAGGCTAAGCCCCCTTTCCGTTATATAGAAGCATTATACTTGTACGTGGGACAGTGCTGTGGTTACGTTATTTTGTAGCTGGGACGTTCGCTATAGGGAGGTTTGTATTGTACGGTAAAGTCAGTTGGTACATAAAAATTTGTAGAGAGATTTTCGCTATTGGGGGAGTTCGTTATCGGAGGTCCCACTGTAGGATAGATGTGCATCTTTTTATGCAGGTATATTCTCGGCTCAAGCATGTGTGAGCAACAATGCAACTTTGAAGACGTTAGTCAACTCTTCACCTTGCCATTGGATGATGCTGTCTTTTTCAAGTTTTTGGGAGACAACTTGGATCATAAGCGTAGAGTTCATGATGAACGCTCTGACAATCAAGGGTCAATGGTTCACATGTACAGTACGCTTGTAGGTCGTAGCCATACTCCTGCCGTCGAGTTGTCACGCAAAGGGCAGGTAGCTCCTCTAGAGTCATTTCCTAGTATCTCTTTCCTTCCTACTGCATCTGATGTTCAAGCTGTGAAACAAAACCTCGTGGTTTTAGGTAGCCATCTCCATATCCATCCCCATTCTCCCCTCTGTAAGTCTGTTCCCAAACATATTCCTCACAAGTCAGAGGTTGTTGTAATCGATGTTTTGATGAAGAATGAAGCAAAGCATAGTAACATGCTCGACATCATGTTCAAGATGCAGGAGTACCTAGGAAAGGATTACCCTTCTGAGTGAAAGGTTGCATCAGGTGGAGACCAATTGACCTGCGAGCGACAATTTTGCACGCAACGACATGGTCCTTGAATAAAGGTCTAATGCCAATTCATTCATCTTCCAGAGCAGACATTACTCTCTGTTGGTCCTCGGCAGCCTTCTCTTCACCCTTACTCACAAGGAAGAGCTGGAGATCTTTGACCAAAGTAAAAAGAGCGAAGACAAGAAAGGGCCATTTGTTGGTCGCTGCATAGCCAAAAGGTACAGCTATCAATCGAGCATACACTCGCTTGGTTCATTCATACTGTTCCCGTTTTGGGAGACTGTCCTACCATTGATGCGGTTGTCCGATCTTTGCTGTGCCCGAATCGTAACTTTACGGCAACGTCATTCCCACGGTAAAGCTCGGATAAGAGCGAATATTTTTATACAACAGTCTATGACCAAGAACTACATATTGGTAAACACAGTAGCCAATCTAGTCTTGCACAGACTTCACAAATGCGTCCGAGAATATATGGCGTCCGATTATCGGTGGCTTACTCTACATAATTACCCGAAGAAACCACTAGGGGGGCTCGCTCCGCTTGCCCAATTACTTAGCCATCTAGATACTATCTCCGGAGGCGGTCGTTCAACAGAGGTCTTTTTCTACGTAGTGTGATCTGCTGGGGTGTGGCATACTGGCTGTTGGGCGTTTAAGAGAGGTGCCCGCTCAATTTGCATTCCTCAGAATACCAGGAGACGAGAACTGGTAGCACTTTGTACCACTAACACAGTTTACTTTTCAGTGGAGAGAAATGGGAAGAGTTTTTCAACTGAAGAAATATTGTTTGCTACAAGATTGAAGATACATTCCTTGTCCGCATTGCTGTCGGTTATTACTAGGACTAGCTTTGCTACTTCGCAAACAGTTCACTTCCTTAGCTTTTTCTAAACTGTGCCACAGAACATCTGGTGGTCACCTTCAGAATCACTGCACTGTCAAATCAGCTGGCACACATTGTAGACATCATCACCTATATTATCTGCTGGGGAAAATCTGGAAAGAAAGTAAAGCACACTGAACAAAGATCGCATGCTGAAAAATTTCGTCACTGCATGGAACTTTTTGACGATACACTATGAGGCAACTCCAACTCCAACCGCCTCTCTTTCGCACTTCTTTGTGCTTCAATTCGAGGCACCCGATCATCACCTTGGCGTGTAACTCTGTCAGCCTTGAGTCCTGTTGACCTGATGACAGCCGAGCCACGGGTTTCAATGCAACAATGAACTCTTTGTTTTTTCTTTTCTTTTCTGTTGGCTTTTCATTGTATTTATATATATATTATGGTGATGGCGCTATTTCTATGTTTTAATTGTATTGTACTTTGTTTCCCGTCTCCTTTGATTAGTTTAAACCCTCGGCGTGCATGCGCAGCGAGGGTTACGGTACTTGGTTTGTGAGCGTGTGTGTGTGCGGTCAAGCACGCAAGGACTGAGGAGTCTGCAGTAGCTGAACACGTCTGGGTCTCGAAACATCAAGTGGACTTCCAAGGAGCCACAGTCCTCGAAGAGGAAGCCAATCTCCACCAATGACTGGTCCCACATCAAGAAACACTCCACTTTTAACCGGGGAGGCAGGCACTCTCTCTTCTGCCTATTCTTGTCTCTTGTAGTTTCCACTGTCACCTTAGGTTTTGTATGTTCTCTCAATATTTTCTTCTACTCATTGTCTCCTTATTTGCTTAGTTTTTCTCATTTTAAAAAATTATTATATATTTTAGCCTTTTTTAAAATGCCTTTTCTCTTTTATCACTATTGCCACTCATCTACATACTTCCTGGTGATAGTGGAATTTCCATCATTCCTTTCTCTCTCATGCATAAAAATGGACCTGCAACCTGTCACTATGTATATCACCACTGATGAGGACTGCTGAATGCAGTTGAAACGTATATAAAATTATTTGACTTGAGTATTGTGAAGAGCTTTATAATGCTTTCGTCTCTCTCTCTGTCTTTATGAATGTGCTCTATTTTAACCCCAGCGCGTATGGTCGAGGGTTACGGTACTTGTTTTGTGTGTCTGTGTGTGCGTGTCTGTTCCAAAACACGCACCTTGAGTAATTTTTCGCACTAAAAATGAAGCAACATATTCTTTGTCGCATGAAGATAAAAGGGTTTGTGGGATTTTGTGATTTTTCCGTTATACGGGTTGAAATCGTCACCCATTTTCTACGTGGAATAATAGGCATGGGATGTGTGCAAATAAAGCGACAAAGGACATGTCTATCTGCAGAGCGCGTCGGCTACCACATGGCTAGTTGTAGGACATGAGTAAGCATACCTCCAACAAAGGTATTTTGGTTTGAAAAACTGCTGGCGGAAAAGTGTGTGAACGCTGTGATTATGTCCTTTCATCCAAGACAAAAGCAGAGTGCATAGCTAAAGATATGATGCGTAAAAAGAGCGTCTGAGACTAATGAGCAAACTTTGCTTAGGCTAGACAACCTGAGAGCAACTGAAACACAGTGGCATTATTTGCTGAGGAAAGAACGTGTCAAACTTTACGCGAGCTACTAGCAGGAGACCACGAGTTACAGATAGCCCAGCCCATCAATTAGCAATAGTGTGCCAAAGTTTGCAGTTTACTGCTTTTCATTTTACCATGTAGGTATATAGTACAAAATTGTTTTAGTTTGGGCATCACTTGTGTAACTGTATTAGAAGTACATGTGTCGCATAGATAGAATGTATATTTATAGTCACATATTTATTTTGAATAATCTATTTTTAACATTTCTATTTCTACCATTTCTACTATTATTTATATTATTTATATTTTTCTTACACGTGTATATGCTGTGCGTTATTTAAAGTAATCGACAGAACTATTAATCTTATTTTAGGAGTTCTATTTTTTCTATCTTTCTGTTTATATGTTATTGTCTGTGTTTTTGTACGCTTGGGTATGTTATTGTCTGTGTTTTGTGTGCTTGGGTGGGGGAGGTTCTTTCTTTTCCTCTGAGCTAGTATGCTATAAACATGTTTTTTTCATGTAGTTGATAAGTTAAACAATGTCATCAGACTAACCTGAATCTAGAATGGCCAGGTGGAAGGCGAAATCCATGAATTTGTTTTAAGTGTGTGCTCAATTTCAGTCCCTCAACAAAGCAAACACCACAAATATGACAGCAATATTGTTTTTGTTCTTGCATGTGAACTTTTCTTGACATGATTTTGCCACGATTTTAGAGTCTTTCCTGCATACTTGCATCCACTCATTGAACATAAAAAAGTTTTTTGACTGTGTGTTTGAAGGTGTTCACTCAAACAATGTAAAGTTTTGAAACTCTTCTGACAAATAGGGCATTGCTGTGGAGTGTCATTATTGTGCCGGAATGTAATATGGTGTTGTAGTCTAGACGGTCCATTGCATGTCAGATCACAGTAAGGACATTTCACAGTGTTAATGTGTCTTCTTACATGCTCTCTAAGAAGCCGTTCATTTTGGTATGCACGAAAACATATCGAACATGAGAATGTTGAGTTATAAACACTCCTTTGGCGCACAAGGTGGTCTTTAAATTTTGCATTGCTTGCAAAAACACTTCCACATCCAGGACAAGCTATAACCTTTTCACCTGTATGACTTCGACAGTGTTCCATCAGCTTATACTTTCCCTTTCCTTCAAACACACACCCTAAAAAAATAGATCACATAGAAAACAAGATGATAAACTTGGCATAATAAGCTTTTTAAAAACAAGGAGACCGGCATTAAAAGTTTAGCCTGAATATGAGAGCAAATTGTGACATGCTGTTTTAATGTTAAAAAATGGTTAAACTTTTTCCTACTGGTCTCCTTGCATTCCTCAGCTGTTTAGCTAGTGGGTACTGAGTGGCAATGCCATATATAGTTCACACAAGTTGGAAAAAGGAGGCGTAGCTGTTATCAATATCACACCCCCTTATATTTTTCCAAGTCCCTTAGGACGAAATGTATATACAACGCTCAAAATCAATCCTTGAAAGGTAAGATAACCACTTTGGCAGGGAAGATGACAATTCTCCTGCTGGCTAGATTGCACATCGAGGAAAATGTGCAGGCAGCATGAAAAATGATTTCGGATAAAAAGAAGCATATAATTGCACAGTTGAACGACGTACGGACGTATATCGAAAAATTACGCCATTCAGACCACTAGGTTAGCTCGCTCCCGCTCACCAACAATTTAGTGGAGGCTCATGCCCTCAATATCTATGGTTCACAGTAGAGAGCCAAAATCCAAGGATAGAGTACTCTTACTCTGTGAAAATGCTGGAAACTCCCACTAAAGCCCTTACACATACAAAAATGTGAGACTACTGTGGTATTGGTCCATGCATTGATGTATGTATTCCTGTAATGCAGTGTATTTGTGTATCATGCACGCAGACTGTGTTCTTACTATATGCCTGTACTTGTGCACATGTGCATTGTGTTGTAAATAAGTGTGTTGTAGGCGGTTTTTATCAGTCTTTGTTTTTCTGTATCCGGCTCCTAATAGGTGAACTACTGTGAGTGTTAGCGGGTTTTTCACACCAGATCCACGTTACATGTTGGCAGCGGTGAGAGTATCATCCGAAAATGTCAACCAGCCGCAGACGCAGCAGCAGCACCTATGTACCGAGTGAGTATGCAACCGACAGCCGTGTCATTTCACGTCTCAATACCAGAGCCTTTCACCTTCAGCCGTCCTGGAGAGTGGGCGAGATGGATTTGCCGCTTCGAGCGATTCCAGATCGCATCACAGGACTGGTGCAGAAAGAGGGAGAGGTGCGAGTGAATACTTCTATTCATGCAATGGATGATCAGGCCGATGACATTCGTTTGTGCTCTCAGACGAAGACTGCAAGAACTATGGGACGGTCAAGGACAAATTCGATAAACACTTCGTCCAGCGTCGCAACGTGATATTCAAACGGGTGCGTTTCAACCGAAGACGACAGGAAGAAGGCGAACCAGTAGTCCTTTATCGTGGCTCTCTACGCACTGGCGGGACACTGGCTCAGCTAGCTGGGGCCAAGGTCTTCACCATGCTGGATGCGAACTTGGGATTCTGGTAGATACCCCTGTCTCCTGAATCTGCACTCATGTCGTCCTTATAACTCCGTTCGGGCGTCACCAGAGCACTTCCAGCGACGAATGTCAGAGGCGCTGAGTGGGCTCTCTGGTACTGTGTGCCTGATGGATGACATCCTAGTCCACAGAATGACACGAGAGCACGACGAGCGACTGCGACTCGTTCTACAGCGTCTGAGTAACCTGGGCATGACACTCAACTCTGAGAAGTGCATGTTTGCCCAGTCGTCAGTTGAGTTCTTTCGACATGTGATTTACAGCCAGGGAATCACACCAGACCCTAACAAGGTGTCTGCCATCGTTTGATTTGCGACTCTAGCAAATGTCAGTGACATCCGTCGTTTCCTCGGCATGGTCAACCAGCTAAGTAAGTTCCCTCCGAATCTCGCGGAAATCACTCAGCCGATGAGGTAAAAGAGAACGCGTGGTTGTGTGGAGACCAGCAACACAGATCGTTCAACAAAGTAAAAGAAGTCCTCACTGCAAGTCCTGTTCTTGCACTCTTTGACCCAAACCTGGAGACTGTGCTTTCAGATGCTGCATTGTTGCACGGTCTTGGAGCGGTCTTACTACACAGACAGACTTCGAGAGGATTGCAACCCGTGGCCTACATCTCCAGGGCCATTACACCAACCACGAAGAGATACGCTCAGATCAAAAGCGGCATTAGCTTTCACATGGGCATGTGAACGACTTTCAGATTATCTGGTTGGGTTGCAGTTTCATATCCAGACCGACCATAAGCCGTTGATACCACTTCAGCTCCAAAAACCTGGAGGAGCTACCACTTCGAGTGCAGAGGTTCAGGATGCGTTTCAGGTACACTATTAGTCATGTTCCAGGGAAAGACCTGACGATTGCAGACACACTCTCCAGAGCTCCAGTAGCCACTCCATCGGCCGACGACAAAGTTCTCCAATGAGAAACCACTTCGTATGTAGACTTTGTGATCAGACAACTACCAGCATCAGAGTAACGACTGGCAGAGATACGTGAGTCCCAGAAGTCTGACTGTGCATGCCAGCACATGGTAAAATTCTGTCGATCAGGCTGGCTCTGTTAGATGAAGTCAAACCACACTACACAGTCTCAGCAGAGCTGACAGTACAACAGGAAGGTCCTTTGCTCAGAGGCAGCCAGATGGTCATCCCTCCGCCGCTAAGGAGAGCACTCCTCGACAAAATTCACAGCGGACAATCTGGTGACTGGGGCTTCCAACAACAGCGACAACAACCACTCACTCCTACCCCTCTACCTGCCTTACCCAGGCAGAAAGTGGGCAGTGATCTCTTTGTCTGTCTTTCTATCTCCTCGTTGTCGACTATTTTTCCAGATTCATCGAGATTGCACGCCCCAACCAACCAACTACAGCAGAGGTGGTGATCCACCTAAAGATTACATTCGCACGACATGGCATTCCTGAGACACTCCTCTCCGACAATGGGCCACAGTACTCCCCAAGAGAGTTCGCTGAGTTTGCAGTGGAGTACAACTTCTGCCACATCACGACGAGCATATCACCCTCAGGGGAACAGAGAGGCAGAGAGAGCCGTCGCCACAATAAATAATCTACTGAAAGAGGGTGACTATCCTTACAAAGCTCTCTTGGCTTATCGTACGACCCCACTGCAGCGTGGGTACAGCCCCTCACAACTCCTGATGGGACATGTTCTCAGGACAACAGTTCCGACGACTAGAGCTCAGCAGAAGCCACATATTCCTGACCTCACCTCTGTGAAAATCAAAGACCAGAGCATCAAGAAGAGACAGAAGAAAAACTTCGACTCTCACCACAGAGGAAGAGAACTCCCACCAATGGAGCCTGGCGATCACGTCTGGATGCCAGGGAGAGAGAGAGTGAAGCAGAGGTCGAGGGAGAAGTGGCACCCCAATCATACCAAGTAGTGTCTGGGGAAGGAACATTCCGCAGAAACAGACGTGATCTGATAAGTTTCCCTAACTCAGACACAGCTTATTGCTCTGAGCAGAGTTGTCGAGACGGAACCGATGATACGGTGGAATCTAATGAACAGTCCAACGAACGACCTAATACATCCGATGATTCGACCGAATCTACCACACCTTGATCGCTTCAAAAGAGTAGCCATAACTCCCGACCACCCGAATGGGTAGACCCCAGTTTGTCACACTGAACTGCTGAGAGAGACTCAGAAGGACACGTTGGTGTATGTTGTTTACTCATGTATTGCTGTAATGCTGTGTATTTGTGTATCATGCATGCAGACTATATACTAATTGCTGTATGCTTGTACTTGTGCGCATGTGAAGTGTGTTGTATAAAAGTAAGCGGTTTTTATCAGTCTTTGCTTCTGTCTGTATCCGGCTCCTAACGGGTGAACTACTGTGCGTGCTAGCGGGTTATTTATGCCAGACACACGTTACTACAACTACCTCTTGAAAACAGGTTTCAGAAAAGTGCTCTCCGGGTGTACTTGTATTGTTTGCTTGCCTTTGCCTTGAGACTTGTTGATGACACATATGTATCACTAGTACTTAATATATAGGGATGGGCATGGTACCTAGCATCATAGATGTATGGGGCTATGATAGGGAGTTTTGTTCATCTTCTCCTTCTCCTTCTCCTTCTTCTTCTTCTCAAGATTGAACTCGCGTAACCAAAAAAGAAATATATTATAGTAATGGCACTTCTTCTTCACTCCTCAAACTTGCTAACTGTAGCACGCATGGAGGTGAAACTTGGTGCGCATGTGTATTACATCGTTTTGACGACCACAACAACAAATAGCCTCGGGCACTTTTCTTTATAATTACTTCTTGACTCCTCAAACTCGCTAACGGCAACATGCATGGAGATGAAACTTGGTATGCATGCGTGTAACATCATTTCCACGACAACCACTTTGTTTGAACAACAACAAAAGCCTCAGGAAATATTCTTAAAAATTACTTCTTCACTTCTCAAACTCGCTAAAGGTAGCACGCATGGAGATTAAACTTGGTACACATGCGTATTACATCATTTGCATGACAACTATGACGACTACATATTGTTCAAATAGCTTCAGGCACTTCTCTTCAAACTTGCTAACGGCAGCACACATGGAGATGAAACTTGGTACGCATGCGTATTACATCATTTCCATGATGACAAGAGGCCATTTTCTCTATTATTATTATTTTTTTATAGGGGGCTTGCCCCTTTCACACAGATATACGTAATAGTATATAAAAATGAGTGGAGACAAGTAAATCATAAATCCTGCGAATTTAAAAAAAGAGGCATATAGGGATGGTATAAAAAGAAAGGGACAATAGCTCAATATTGCCCATGCATGTCCCCAAGTAGAGTAGAAGTGAGTCAACAGTTAATGAAAAGCACTTGAAAGTGCATAACCCTCGCCACTTTATTCTTTATTTCAGCAGCCAATGGCTACTAGCTACACTACGTCAGTTTTTGCCACATGCGCATTCAATACTAGTTACTACTACAGCAAAGTGAAAAGCACTGGTCTTGACAACCCTCACCACTATTCAGCTACATACTATATAGCTACGCTACCTCAGTGACTCCTTCACTGAACAGATTCACTGGGGCGTGTGCTGCTCTCACTTCACCGGAAATCTCGATCCTACTCAACTGTATATACCATCAATACAGCCAGACCAGCAAATCTTCTCCACACATGTAGCATTATACAACGATGGTTCTTGATCTCTATTTGACGCACACCCACTTCGGCAGCCGTCGGTTTCACCAGCTTCCCCGGGCTTCTCCGCTCCACAATCTTATTTTACCATGCATTCCTCCTAGTTGAAAATATGTCCACGTTTCACGCTCAGAGTTACCGCGGTTACCGAGAAAAACGGTGGACGGACGGACGGACGGACACACGGACAGACAGACAGACCAACTGCAATAACCCTCGCTGCGCATGCACGCAGGCGAGGGTTAATGATGCATACACCTTGGACGATAGGGATGGGATACATGAAGCATGCTTAATGAACAGATTTGAGCATGCTGACACCCCAGACAATCCTTATACTGTTGCCTAGGTGAAGTATTAAACATTCAACATTACACAATAGTCAGGACTTACAGCTTGAAAATACGAAAAAGTCATGCTACTGAATAACTAAGAGTAAAAATGGAGTGGCACACACTAGGCAACGATAAAGGGATTGTGTGATAGGGGTTGGGGTGCCAGCATGCTCAAATAATGTTCATTAACCATGCTTCAGGTATCCCATCCCTATCTTGTCTCCCTTTCTTTTATACCATCCCTATATGTCTCTTTTTTTAATTTGCAGGATTTTAAATTTACTTGTAGCACTATGCCTTTCTTAGTTGCCTGGTAGCTTGTAGTGCTGGAACAGACAGACAAGATAGACAGACAAGCAGACAGACACACAGGCAGGCATATGGACAGACACACAGACAAACCAAGCGTACCCTTGTGCGAAAGCGGGCCAAGGGTTAAAGAGGAACTAATTATGTATAGCTTCAGACTGGCACACCAGGTACTAATCTGCAAGCCTCACAAACCTAGCTCTAGGAAGGGACCATTTACTTGACGATAACCGCAGAAGTGGGGGGAAACCGATCAGAAATTGAACCTCACCTGTCACTTTACCATGACTATCGCAATAACTGGCGACATTGTCGGTTTCCTAGCAATGGGTGTGGTTGGCCAGCTGCATGAAAGCTTTTACAGTTAACATGAAAAACTCCTGTGTCACAACACACCCAGTTTAATCACGTGGCTTCACGTTACGTCCGAGAGAGTGTCTCTATGGCTATATGAAATTCCATATCATTGTTTATAGGCATTGCAGGACTTGATACTTGACCATCATTGTATCTTCTGATGGTCCACAGTGAGCAAAACGATTAAAATCCAGTCGAGGTACAAGCTAGCCAGGGCCATAGGTTTTGAACGCAATATATTTGCATATAATCTGTCCTTTGTTATGTTATGCAAGGTGCCAGAAAACGTGCCACAAACCACGAACCGTTAGCCATGCTGCGCATGTGTGGGGGGGGGGGGTAAGTGCATGTTGGTGGTGGGTTTTTCTCTATCTATCTATCTATCTATGGCTGGTATGCTATGAACTATAATTTCATGCTACAGATACGCAAGCTCGCAGGTTTTTTCATTCACAGAAAAGACCCTCTCTCTTACACACTAACCTTTCCACTTGCATTGACTGCATCCTGTGTCATTACCCATCACATGATCCCGCGTATGTAGAAAGAAATCACCAACACCATCGAATTCAGCCATGCACTGCCCATCATTCCACTGGCATTTCAAAGGAGTTGATGTCGGTGGAACCAAATTCTTGTATTGCTCATCAATCCGACACGCAGGTAGTTCATATTTGGCCTGAAACTCCTCTCCGAGAATTTTCAAAAAAGCGTGGAAAGGGTGGAATAAAATATGCCGAAGAATCAGTTGTTGGTCTGTAGATGCAAAGTCACATCCATTCCAAGCGCAAAACGCCGGAGTCACAGGACCTGAAAGGTGTATCCTTACGTGAGAGGAGAAGGTAGAAACGTCACTGAACTGAACGCCACAAACCTCCCCATCATGATCTTTCCACTCGCACGAAACTGGGACGAGAATCCGTTCATACTTGCTGCTACATTTCAGCGATGCCTTTTCCATTGGCAAAGAGGACGACTTGTGTGTGACCCGCTGCGAGCACAATGACCTCATTTCAGGGGTTCAAGGGTCATTGTATTAGCGACTGTGCGAGGAGCTAGGGATACTATGCAACGTGTTCCGAGCAGTTTCCGTTCTACGTGCATTCCGCCGGCACCACCAAGAAACCCTGTAAGTGTGTAGCAGTTTCTGTGAAAGTGTTTACTGAACGTCAGACCTGAGACTGCTCCAGAGAGAATCGGGACGACTCCGGCCTCCCACGCGCTGTTCGCTACGCGCACGTTGCGCGCCGCAGACGCTACTTGGCAACCGTCCCACATTCCGCGGGACTGTCCCGCAAAAATCAGTGGCGTCCCGCTGTCCCGCGTCCGACCAACCTTCCGCGTCACTGCATGCGCAGGGAGAAAAGTGTGGGAAATATTCCTGCAAAATCCCCGTATTTTTGGAAGATTCCTTATATTATTCTTCCTGCACATGAGCAAGTTGTGCCGGAATTTTGCTACATTTTGCTGGAAATTCCTGCACATTCCATGTCTTACCATGCACATAGGTCTCAAGTTTGTGACATGCAAATACAGCCAGACCCGATTTCCGCGACAGCATGCGCAGTAGAAAAGTGGGCGGGAAAAGCGCGAATACGCACGCCAGCTCACACGCAATGACACTGCACCGTGCAAACTGTGCGCTAAAGAGTCCAGAACGGCATTGGCTTCGCCTAAAACTGCCAGTAATCTGGTGATGCGAGTTTACAGTACTTCTTGTGGGTCAGCGTGTTTCTATGCACAAATGCGGGTCACTTGAGACCTATGGATGCAGTAGTAGAATGGATGATAGTTACATCTTCAAACTGACATTTCTTGCCCGTGTAAATCTTCCTCCACACAAGCCCTATGTTGTCGCAGAAGTGTATAAGTGTGCTCCTTCCTTGTATGTGACTCATTTCCTAAGCCCATGAGACAGATAATGCACTGGTGTTGCCCTCTCTGCCTCGGTGTTGAGTTGTGCTAAAACTTCCATGTTCGCTCAACTAACCAGTTTTGCAATGCTGCCTTTGTTGTATAATGCGCAGCTAGACTGTATCTCTAAGTACATGATACGTGAAAACCAAGTGATACGTACATGTCTCAACAACTTGTTAATGAGGTAGAAAGGCAAGGCAAGGCAAACAATGTAACTCTGTGAGTCTAAAAGTAGTTTGATGGCTTTTCTCGCGTCTATATATAACCACTGTGAAAATAACTATGAATATTTTTTGCTCCCATATACCTCAAGACTGCTGCAGAGATTGTTGGCTGGAGCTCTCAGAGCGCCCCAGATTGGCTCCATGATCTGTAGGATTTTAGTGTCGCTGTATCCGTGGATTTAGCCTGCCAAGTAACTGTTCCCTATTAGACTTGACGCTCGTGGAATGAACGAGCGTAACTCTCCCCAGACCACTTCCTAACTCGGCAAACGTAGCTCTAAATATCTTCCCAGTCTGCAATACCCTTACATTAAATTCATGGTGAAATGAAAACATTGGTGAATATAAGAATGGCAAGGAGACAACGAAGACAGTGATTTTTGTGCATGTATGTATGCAGTGATACATTGGATGATTGATGGCTGTGGATAGTGACTGCCCATGCAAACTGAAAGGGTTAGACGGAGAGGAGAGATGGTGTCGGGGAGGTGAGGTCTTAACCATGACAGTGGGTAGGTCAGGTTTGTGTCAGCACAGTTGCTCTTTTGGTGACACCGAAATTGATTCACTGGGGGTGACTTGCAGATAGATGACTGCCTCTAGTCATCAGCTGGGGCTTTGCTGCACTTCCTCAAGTGTGTACAGCCTTGCTTTTGGATGCTGCATCACCTCAGCTTCAACTAATAATTGAGATGGGGTATATAATAGTGAGTAGATTTTTTTGACGCTTCTCTGGTTGCATCTTAGCAGGGAGTAGAGAGCATGGCCATCCATGTTTAATGTGGCCACACAACATTTAGCTGCAAGTCGTGCCATGATTAATGTTTGCTAGAAACAACTATTCCCAGTCATTAGGTACTGTGATCCTGCTGAACCTTACTTTCCTGGTAGGTTGTTACTCGGGTTCATGGTGTACTGAATGTGTTTGTTAACCATCGGTGCGCATGCGATGCGAGGGTCATAGTACTTGGGTTTGTCATTCCTTCCATCTGTCCACCGGTCTGTCTGTCTGTCTGTTAACACGTTTTATGCCACCACACGCAACAGACCGGCCATATTGTGACACCAACGAGTTCAGCGCTACACTGGCTTCATTTTCAAAATGGCGATTTTCTCTATAAGTGTTGCGTTTGAGAGTTCTGGCGTGAAAACCAAGTCAACAAGCCAATATGCTAATTAACTACTCTGCTCGTTGAGGTGTGCCGCTGACCCTTTCCCGCCCGCAACCCAACCTACTCCCCCTTTTATGAGGCATGCCTGGATTATCCATCACTGGAGTCTGTATGAATGACGCAACTCCAGGAACATAGAGGGTGTATGACGGCGTTGCAATATTGGTATGTTGGGTCGGCATTGCTGTACGAATAGGAGGGGACGCTCCCCTCCTTACTCCCAGCGCCCGGTTTGGGAGTTGCCCTTTCTTGGTGCCCGCTACACCACCCCTTAGTTTTGTGGTAGGCGAGGCGTGGTAGTTGCACTGCGCCATTCTCTGCCCATGCTAATTAACCTCATTTGACCCGTGGGTTAAATTTTGGTGTAACTTGACTCCGCACTGCCGGTACATATCTCTATATAGGGGTAGGGAGGCTGTTGCCCTCTGCACTGCCGGGGAGGGAGTATTTTGTAGAGACACCAACACTGCCCTCTGTCTACTTGGCCACGTGGTGAGCCTACTGCCCGCGCATGTGCCACCGTCGCCCTTCACGCCCACCCTCCAAGGTCTCACTCCCTCTCACTTGTTTTAAAACCCTGTTAAACCCTATTTAGCACAGGCTTACCTCGACCTGATCCGCTCACAACTAAGGGCGTGTATCGACTCACGCAAGTTATCTACTACTGTCGCTAGCCCCTGTCATACTCTTCGCAAACTACCAGCGGGAGACAAGTAAACGCCTTATAGCCCCCCACCCATCAATTAGTTGTACCGCGCATGCACCGTTTGCGGAAAGTTGCACTTTAGTGCTTTTCATTTAGCTTAGTGGCATCTACTTTTCTGTTTCTCAGAATGGCCAATCTTCCTTCCCCAAGTAACCTGGGCGTGGTGTCTTTAAAGACGTAAAACAAAGTGTGTCAAACTATGCCATCCGAAGACATTAGAGCACATTAGCAGGACCACACCGTGAGGTCTAATAAACCTGTCGACTGACGGAGCCAGTTTCTCTCTCTAACACAGGCAGCGAATAGCAAGCTGTACTAGATACACATCCCTCGAGTAACTGCACCCCTCAACAGTGGTTTGAATAGGCTAATGCCAACTTCTTGTTTGATACTATTGAACACCGTTGTTTCAGCTTTATTATTTACGCACCAGTAGCTCTGAAGAAGTTGGTATCAGTTACAGGCTACCTACATAGTAGCCTCTAGTGCCTGCAGCTACAGAAAAGCAGACTGAAACACACACAGTCCAAGTACTTTTTTTGATAAAGTGTATGTCGTGGGTGTCATGAGCTTTGCACTTGCTTTGCTTTGAGACCTCACTTATGATCCATGCTGGAAGAGAGCATTTGCAAGATAATAACTGATAATCTTAGACTTTACACCATTGCAATCTTTCGATTAAAAACTGATTATTCATTTTCTGAATCGATTTTATGCTTTCGTAGGTAGAGAGCACCAATGACAGCAGTACAATTAGCAAGCTTTCTGCTTGCGATGCAGGATATTTTGCCGACAGATATTTGAAGTACTTTGTTGAAAGAACCTCCCGAAGAGCACCACTCATTAACTGGTATTCTTTAATGTACATAAGTAACTTTCGCTTACCATTTACAGATTGTGTGATTCTGTATATCACTCTTGGCATTCAGTAGACCACCTCATGACAATAGGTCTCCTTTGACCCGTGGGTTAAATTTAGGTTTTTGTTGCTTTATTGTTCTTTGGATGTAAGACCACGTGGGGAGAATATGCTGTAGCTTTTATAGTTACGATGTAAACTGGCACACTTTTCTGCCATTGAGAGCTGCATTTACATGTTAAATGAAAAGTACTAACCCTCGGCGCAATGTGCGTGCATGGTACCGCTAATTGATGGGCTAGGCAATGAGTATGCTTTACTCGTGGTCTCCACGCATAGTAGCTCGCGAAGAGTCCATTGGGGTTTCACGCAAACATTTAGATTTTCGCTTTTTACTCATGTACGCTTGTGGCAACGCGATACATGAAGGTATTGGACCATGTGATGCCAAGAGAAAAAAGATGCGGAGCTCTGGACAGCTGTTTCGGGTTTGTTGGCCCTCATCAGCAGAGAATACCGCAACTTCTCTCTCTGGCATCATGAGTTTATAAAGGCTACCAGGAGCGCAGCACTTGTGGTTCTGAACTAATCCCCACAAGGCTTTGCCACTGGTATGTGCTGCTGACCATGCCCAGACATTCGTGGTTTGGAGCCTAGGCCCCTCCCCACTCCTGCTGGTCAAGGCCAGCACCGAGCCAAAACCTGAACTCGCAATCTGACATGCGCAAATAGCGTGTGTGCCAAGGTTTTTTTTCCAAGGAGCCATGCACCTTGGTTCCAAAATCACACTTGCACACATACTAACAGCTACCTTCTGCATGTCAATAGTCCTACTGCACATCAAACGTTTACAAGAGCTTCTTGTGTACTTGCAATTTTCGCGTACCGAGAAAAACCTTTCTTCCAACAAAACAACTCCTAGCTGCCTGGGGAAGACCCTCCCTCTACCAAACGCTGCAGAGATCATGCAGCCACAATTTCATCCTGGACCTCGAGAGGCGGGCATCTGCATGGCCGCGCACAACGACGATGAGTACCATCTTGAAGAACCACACCAGTACTGCAGGATCTGTACCAACTTGCTCTGGAAGTGCAAAAAGAAAGGCACTGTGTTCCAGAGCAGTGCAAAGAAGGAGCTGCTAATGCAGATTGGTGTAGAGAACAACCAGGATGATAAACTAATTCACCCACAGCAGATATGCAATGCCTGCAACACCAAACTCTCACACAGGATCTTTTTCCGTGTTTCAATGTACTGCACACACAGGCTGAAACTGTACAGTATGTGAACATTATAAATATCAGAGTGAGGCCACCAACACTCATCGAGTCCATCCAGTCCTCTATACATCCCTCCTTTCTCCCTCGACTGCTTTTCCCTCCACCACACAGTGTCCTCTGACAGATCTGCAATGCGCGTGCGTGAATGGCAACAATGCCCCACCCATCTCTGCAGGAGTGGTTGTTTGCAAGGTGGTTGGGTCTCTGCTACTGCACAGTGCCTCATGTAGGTGCATTGCTTAACTGCAGAAGATGAAAGAGCATCTCAGTTTGAAATGTTCTCAAGGTTCTCAACCCTCCCCGTCAAAACTCACCGTCAAATAAAACATGGTACGTCCCTCTGATGCTCCTGAGAGAAAGTATCTACAGCTCTGGTCAGGAAAGACCAAGAGACGGAAGAGTAATCAATTGGCAGACATTCAGTGGAGCGGAGGGAACTGCCCAACTCAAGGAAGAGCTGGACAAGGAAGGGAAGGGAAACTGCTGATGAGGAGTTCTCAAGGGAAATTTCCGCCGAAGAAGCTTTGTCCCTCGAGGCCATGTGAGGCTTTGCAGGGAACAAAATTAGAAGAATGCGAAGGTATGCAATTGTATCATCAATGAGCCTTCCCATTCCCTGCTATAGTAGAATGGGAAAAAATTACCCGAACACAATGGGAAGGAAGGGGGTTAATTACATGGGACAGGTGGGGGTTTATTCTACAGTAATATATACAGATTGTTCCGATGACATGGATCCGAGTGAGGAGAGAATAAGGCAGAGCTCAAAACTGGCTCCCTTCTCCTTTTCAATGCAGCATGGGGGAGAAAACTTGAGTCTAGCGCCACATATCTTCACGGTCGCCCTGGTAAAACCAACTCATCAACAACAGCACTGAGAGTCTCATGAGGCACGACAATCTCATTCCTCGAGATGAAATTTGGGGGGAGATAAGGGTGGGAAGAGTTTCATGATGTCACTGCAGCTGGTGAACACCACACATCCTAACTCCATCCACATTTCCTTTCTGTTCTCGGTGTTTAGGGCCAGAAACACGACAAGCAACCTCTTAGTAGCTCCCGAGCGGTACAGAACTTAAGTTGAAACTCTCCAATCTGTAACCTATAGGTATATAAGAATTGATAGGTTTAGAGTTGCCAAACTACATGAAATACAGAGAGAAAAAGAGTTTACTGTTGAGCGACTACACTTACGAAGTCTTACGTTACGGGATATCTGGTGCAAGTTGTAAGTTTCTCTGACAGTTAACCACAAAAATGTTATACCTCAACTTCAATACAGGCCATAACTGTTGATTGTACCGCGAGATTTCTACACACAACATGAAAATCCCCCTGAGAGAGAGAGGCAGCTACCCCAGTCGTACTCTTCACTCGCTGCAGCGGGACTATCTCGAGTTCTGCAGTAAGGGAGGCAGACACCTGAAGAATGCCAAGCACCACAACAATGTCATCATCCCCTACAACCTGTCATCAAGCTAAAAAAACTAAGTTCCCTTACTACTGTGGCAAACATTTTTAAAGGCTCAGTTTTCTGTTATAATGTGTGTTGCCATGCTGTTATCCTTAGCTATAGATCCTATCAATTATCCCAGGTACTTGAGAGAGTATACTCTGTTTTATTGAGATGTGGTTGCTATGGCACACTGTAGCAATACAGTGTCTATTTTTGAATAAACAGTGATATAGCCTGCACAATTTACTTTGTTAGGCCTATTTTTAAGCTGAAACTGAACCTTCATGTTAATTTTTTTCAGTTGAAAACTGCTAAGATTTAAGTTTTGTTAAACAGAGCATCCCTTGGGTAATTTACAGTTCTGGTCTGTGGCCCGGTTCAGGGAAACGCCGAATATGGTCTATATGTGTGCACCTTGCACTTAGAATATCTGCTGTATCTCAGCTACACTATGGTCAATACTAATACTATGCGTGCTTGTGTACGTGTGTAGATTCCATCAACCTATGCTTATGTCCGACACTCGCTAATAATTATGTTGGACATAGTGTGGGGGTGTTACAGTGGCCACAAGGAGTGAACATTTGTGTATGTGCTCACCGTTACATGCACGTAATACCCGAGTTGTGGTGTGAAGTTGGCTGGCTCTGTTCCTACAATTGACATTGAACTTCACGTAAGCTCCACGCGCCTATAAACTCATGCTTGCATGCTCGTAGCGCTATCCTTACTAGGGCATTTGCTACTATGTAGTTTTGGTAGGCTGATCATGACGTGTGTCTGCATAAAGAGCAGTACATCTGGGTGCAACTAATTAATATCTAAAACCCAATTCTTATACAATACAGGAGTATAGTTGGCTTACGTTTCACTATGCTTGTGCTCATTAAGTTTACTTATGTGTGATATGCCCTATGTTTTTGTTCAGGGGATACTATGTTCGGTGGAAAGCAGTTGAAAATGTGAAGGAAGTGTGCAGGCAATGGCTTTCAAAGGGCGATGGACAGGTACGTATGTGTATTGTATAGAATATCAGTTTTTTAAGTAAATACGACTTAATGGGGATGATAAGAGTGTGACTGCTCGTCACCCTCATTAACCATTTTGCAGTGAGGTGTACAGTACTTGGCTTGTAATTGTGTCATAATTCTGTCTTTGTTACCACATTTTATGGCACCACACGCAGCATAATGTCCGAAAACTAATTGTAGTGGTTCATAGCTACACTGGCTTGATACGATTTTTGTAAAAACGAACCACCAGCGCACAATGACATCCACAAGACAAGTGCCCCGCAATAGATGCAGACTGCCATCACTACGGACACAAAGGACACTACAGCACGTAATGCCACACGCGAGGCCTCTCTTCCATCCAAGACGAAAACAAAGATGAATCAGGATTTCTTGAGACTGTTACAACCAGCAGAAAGAACGCATGAATCGCCCACATCTCAATCAACTGAACAAGACTACATTTTCAAGCTGGACGCTGGTGCTGAAGTCACAGCTGTTTCCAAGGAAGCGTGGGAGATCCCAGGGAAGCCGGTACTCGTGCAACAGTTTAGTGAGGTGGTCCAATTATTTCAGGGGGTCCAAATGTGTCTGTGATATAAAGCCAATATGCTAATAAGCACAGACTTACCTCAACCGGATCCGCTTGCTCTGTGTATCTTGAAGGCCACAACGAATGGCGTGTATTGACTCCCGCATGCTATCTACTACTGTAGCTAGCCCGTGTCAAACTCTCCGCAAGCTACTAGCATGGAGACCATGAGTAAGTAGCCCAGCCTATCAATTAGCAGTACCGCACATGCGCAGTTTGGCGAAGGTTTGCACTTTAGTGCTTTTCATTCTATCCTGCATTTGACACTTGGTGCAGTCTGCAGTGAATTGCATGGTTCCGCTGTTGAAGTTGCTTGCAACAGCAGTTGTGTCAGTCTTAAGGGCAGACAAATTTTCTGGGAGAAGGGTACATTACGAGCACCATATCCTATTGTCCTTTAACACACAGTTTTCTTCTATATTGGCTTACAGTTTGTTCTTCACAGTGTGCCAGAGCAGCATGACTTAATGGTAAACCAATTTGTGGACACCCTATATACAGAAAGTGGCTTCTACTATGCTGCTGTGTATTATGAGTATACCAAATACATCTTAATGAACAACTAGCACTGTTTTAACGCTCAAGTCACTTTTATCTACGTCCCTGCAAAAGCATCCCCTCAGATCGTACTCACATGGAACATGGAAGACAGAGAGCCATCGACCCTCACCATGCTCTTTGGAGATACATACCAGCTTTGCAGCAACCTCCTTCTGATTAAGATGAGGTATACCTTTCACTGAGAAATGATACTGCAGCCGTGTTAGTACGAGTGACTCAAAAACTTTGGCAAGCACTGATGTAAGCATGACTCCTCGGCAACTGTGTGTATCGAGAGGATCCTTACCTCATCCTTTATACAACAGTGTTTAATAGATTCAAATTTTGAGGGAGTCAGGTACATGTTCCAGTTCCGTGAAATTGCAGAATCCAGTCTCAAAGAATTGGACCCCCATATTTTAGGTGTTCTGCCTGCACCCCGTCGTCTCTGGCGGCCTTACCAAGTTTCAACTTCTTCAAGACACCATCGACTTCCTCATTTGTTGCATAAATGAGGGATGTGTCTGCACATGTGAAAGTCTCATGGATGGTGTATTGGACACCGTTGAAAACAGGACATATCTTCCTTCAGCCTTAGTGCAGACCTTGCAACGCTTGTCAGTGCATCGCACCACGCAGGAGTCTAGCCTGGTTATGGGAATAGGGGGTACCTGACTTGTTCGGGGTGGTGGGATCCAGGGAGGGATGACTTCACCAGGGAGTCTGCCAGTGTGGGGTTCCTCCGGTAGCAAATCTGGGGAGGGTTAGGAAGGAGAGTAGAGAGAGATGGGTCATTCTGCACAAGGGACCAGTGTTTGTAGTGAGGTGAGTATGTAGTTACAAGTCTAGGTATGTTAGGTAGGGGTGTGTGGCTAGGGCTAGGGCTTAGGCTGGGTATGTATGCCTCTCTAAGGTCATGTGTGATGCTGTCTAGGATCCTATCAACAAAGTCTCTAGGGTAGTTCCTAAGGAGTAAGTGTTCTCTAAATGTATGCAGGGTGGAGTAGTATGTGCGTGCGTCTGTATTGGAACGTAAGAACCTGATAGCTTCTCCTTTCACGAGTCCTTCGAAGACGCCCCTGGGGTGGGAGGAGGAAAAATGCAGGCATTGAAAGGTGTTTTTTAAAAGTGTATGCTCATGTCTAGGTGGTTGGTTGCGTTTAACCTCTCTCCCTTGAAGAGGTTTAGGTGTCTAGCAAATTGAAGGAGTCGTGCATGAATTTATTGATCTCTTGTTCTGAGGAGCACATGACCGAAGAGTTCTCTGTGATGGCATAACTAATTGCCCGAAAATGATCTTCCTATGCTGCCAGAATGGTTTTTTCACCCTTGCTGCGCATGCATGCCGAGGGTTAATTACATGGTAAGGAACCTACAACTTCTACAATCATGTTTACACGTTTTCAACATGATAAACAAAATGACGTCAGAGAGGCGTCAAGAATGTGTTCGCCGTTTGTGCTTGGTCCGTTTGCACGTGCTGCTGAGGCCCATATATCCCTTTCGGTCACAAAATGTTGTAAATTTACGCACTTCTAGAAACGTCAAGCAAACTCGCACAATTGTGAACTTTGACCCGGTAAGCGGGCGGCATGGCGGCATTATCTCATAAAAACCACCCATGCATCCTCAGAAGTGGTCCGTCGGCACTTGGATGTACAGTAAAAAAAAGCAACAATGTCCGCATTGAGTTAGACATGTCATAAAATGTCTCAGCAGGTTGAAAGGCAGGCACAGAGGCTGTGCGTAGGTCTGTAAAACGGCAAAAATAAAGATCGCTACAGCACGCGTGTGCGGGATGAAAGGGGTGTGTCGATTTGGACAGAATGACGCATGCGTGCAGCAGAGTTGCTGAAAAACGCCGATTAGGAGCATAAGCCAAATTCATGACTGAAAGAGATATAATAGTCTCGTGCTCCACGTTAGACACAACCTACGTAAGTACATAAAATTCAGAAACCCTCTGGCGATTTTGTGCCCTCGCTGCGCTCGGGACATCATAGCTCTGCCCTCGGGTTACGTAGGTCCCTCGCGTCATCAAGTGTCTAACCTATAATAATGAAAATACTGCTCCAACAACCTACAATATAGCTAGTGCTTCTAATTTGCAGTTTGTATGTGTTTTGTTGTGGCAGTCTATGGTATATACGTACCAGTGCCATGCCTTAAATTTTGAGTAACATTTTGCAGGTACAGCTCATACTCTTTGGTTCTGGGTATGATACAAGTGTCTTTCGGCTAAACTCAGAGGAGATTTTTTCAAACTGGAAAGTGTTTGAGGTATGTGTAACAAGAGTTTTACACTATTCTTTATGTGAATGATACCAGCCAGTTATTGACTCACTGTGTTTTATTATTGTTACTGCTGCATACATGTAAGCATAGATAACGGAAAGAAAAGGGATTGGCAACGGAAGTTGAGGTCATTTCTATCCGCGTTTCGGCTTACGTAATGCTATAATGGCGTCTGGGATTTTGCGTGCGCCCGTCTCCAATGTTGTGGACAAAACTCCAGCTCTGTCAAAGCGAAGCACTGAACTACAACGATGGGGAAGGGAGATATTTGAAAAATCTACGCTAGGGGAATCTGAGCAGACCGCATTTGACCAGTTTGGTGAACAGTTACTTCGCTATGTGTGAGAGAGAATCCATTTGGTCACGGAAGGCCTAACGCTCAACAGTTCTAAA